GAAAAGTGCTTTTGGAGAGAAGCTACTTTTTCTTGCTTCTGCTTCTCCTCAAAAGCACTTTTTTTCCTTCAAAAAGCTTGGTCAAACACCTCAATTTTTGGCTAAAAGTGCTTTTGGCCAAAACAACACTTTTGGCCCAAAAAAAAGCTTGGCCAAACAGGCTATAAATCTTCTCATCTAAATCACCACGAAGAAAAGCAATCTTGACATCCATCTGCTCAACCTCTAAATCTAGACTTGCGGCTAAGCCTAGAACCACACAAATAGAAGACATCTTCACAACAGGGGAGAAAATTTCATCAAAGTCAACTCCCTTTTTCTGGCCAAAACCTTTAACAACTAACCTCGCCTTGTACCTAGGCACAAAGTTATGGTTATCTTGCTTTATTCTGAATATCCATTTGTTAGACAAAGCTCTCTTATCTTTTGGCAATTTCAGTAACTCATATGTGCCATTCTCATGGAGTGACTTCATCTCATCTTCCATGGATTCGATCCTCTGATCTTTGTGAGTATCTTTCATGGATTCATCATAATTCTCAGGTACTCCCATGTCAGTCAAACGTACATACTCATCAGGAGGATAGTGCATGAATTTTTGCTTCTCCCTTCTAGATCTTCTAAGAGAGGTTTCAGGAGCATTTGAAGTAGTTACCTGAGCAGGAATTGGTTGTTGATCAACTACAACTTCATCAACTGAAGCATACATAACATCTACACCATGAAGATTCACTTTGATCTTTTTCACTATCTCCATCATTGTCTTGGGTTCCTTCATATGCAATAGGTGCCTTAGCAATAGAAACTGGATCAATATAAACTAAGCTCTCACTACTCTGAGAATCTATCTTCTAAGCTTTGTCAATATCTTCAATAGTCCGGTCTTCAAAGAATATTGCATCACGACTTCTAATAAGTTGATCGTCAACTAGATCGTAAAAACGATACCCAAACTCATCTTGACCACAACCGATAAAGATGCACTGCTTAGTTTTGACATCCAGTTTTGATCTCTCATCTTTAGGAACATGCACACAAGCTTTACACCCAAAAACTCTCAAGTGATCACAAGAAATATCTTTGGCAAACCAAACTCTGTCTGGGACATCACCATCCAAAGCAACAGTAGGAGACAAATTGATAACATAGGCAACAGTATTAAGTGCTTCCGCCTAAAATGTATTTGGAAGTTTAGCCTCTGAAAGCAGGTATCTAACTCTTTCAACTAGAGTCTATTCATCCTCTCTGCCAAACCATTCAATTGAGGCATCTTGGGTGGATTTTTTTATGACGAATTCCTTGTTCCTTGCAATAGTTATTAAAGGGACCACAATATTCACCACCATTGTCAGTGCGAATACATTTTAATATCTCTTAGATTTCAAAGGATATACCTAGAGCTTACGAGAATGATCATCAATGAAGGTCACAAAGTAAAGTGCACCACCTTTTGACTTTACTTTAAAAGGACCACACAAATCAGAGTGTACTAGCTCCAATAAATTGGGCTTTCTTGATGGAGGATGGCTATGAAAGAAAACTCTTTTCTGTTTACCAGCTAAACAATGGATACACCTTTTCAGCTTTGCTTGTTTCACTCCAGAAAGCAAACTTTTCTTAGCCAAACACGTAATCCCCCTCTTGCTCATATGACTCAATCTTCTGTGCCACAATTCTGATAAAATGTCACTTTCCATCAGATTTATGGAGTCATTAAGAATAGAGCCCTTTGTCACATATAAATGACCAGACTTGACTCCTCGAGCCACTACTAACGAGCCCTTGGTGAGCTACCATTGGCCATTAAAGAGGGCATTATGGTAACCTTCGTCATCTAATCTTCCTGCAGAGATCAAATTGAAAGGAAAGTCTGGAGCATGCTTGACATCTTAAAGAACTAACATTGAACCATTATTAGTTTTCAATCAAACGGTGCCAACACCGAACATCTTAACTTCACTGGCATTGCCCATCTTTAACACTTCAGAATCAACATGAGTATAAGATGAGAAGAAAAGTTTTTCTTGGTGTGACATGTGAGGTAGCTCCAGAATCTACTATCCAGCTCGTCTCATGGGATACCAAATTGATGACGTTTTCATCATAAGCAAAAAGAAGGTCATCTCGAACAATAGCAGCAACATTGTTCTCGTTATTTTCAGTTTTCTTTCATTCTCTAATGTCTTGCAACAACTTGTGACAAAACCTTTTGATATGTCCCTTCTTGCTACAGTGGTTGCATGTAATATTATGGTATTTGGACCTTGACTTACTTCTACTTTTACCTCTATTCCTCGAGCTTCTTGTTCTATCTCTCCCCCGGTCTTATGTAACCAAGATATCTGCTTACGAGGACGAAACCTGAGATTTTCTCCTTACTTCTTCGTTCAACAAACCACTCTTGGCATATTCCATGGTCACCTTACCTCCAGGAGCCTAATTTGTCAAAAAAACACGAAGAGTTTCCCAAGAGTCAAGCAGATTATTAAGAAGCCAAAGTCTTTGTATCCCATCATCAAAATTAACTCCCATTCCAAACAGCTGATCAAGGACGCCTTGGAAATCATTATGTGATCAAGGATAGGGCTGCCTTCCTAGTATTTAAAGGTCATCAATTGCTTTAGCAGGAACAACTTGTTGTTCCCAGTTTTTGAAGCATAAAGAGTCTCTAGCTTTTCCCACAATGATTTCGGATGTGTCTCGTTCACAATATGGTTGCGAACATCATCTTCAACCCATTGTCGTATATATCCACATACTTATTGGTGCTCGAAATCCTAATCTTCATTAGATATACTCTCGGGTTTATGAGCTGCAAAACGGGTAGATGCATCTTCTTCACGAAAAATAAATCTTTCATCTTGCTTCTCCAAATATTATAATTTCTCCCATTTGAACATACCAGCTTGCTCATATTCGCCTACATACCGGATAAATAATCAAGGCTCTAATACCACTGTTACGTCGAGGAAGAGGCAAACCCGAAAATAAAGAAGATAAAGAACACCAAATCGAAGGTAAAAATCATGGGATCACAAAGATCCAAAAACTCCATTATAGCAATAAGAGGGTTACAAAAGTTCTCCAAATTGGCTACACAACAAGTGCCAAACACAGAGCAACAATAGCAACAACTAATCAATTGAAGAAAGAGGAGAATCCACAAAAACAAAGTTGTTGTTTGAGATTCGAAATCAGATGCTACGGGCCTCCAAATCCGATCTCCACCGTTCAAATCAAAAACCAAGACATTACAAATATTCAATCAAATTTTTTAGCCCGATCCAACGGTTAACGCATCAGAAAACGTAATTTGAAGTTGGTTGGTCGGAATAAAATCTACAGCAAAAATAAATACTTTTCTTCTCTCTTCTCTCTTGATGAAAGCTCTCTCAAAAACCATTCTTATGTGCTTAAGTCTTTCAAAGACTTGTATCAATGAGCATAGAAAAATTCTTCAAGGTTGTCTTAATTATAGATCGGTGCTTTCTCTTAAAGCCAAAACTCACTCAAAATAGGAATAAACACCGAATCCAATTCCGAATAGGAATGCAAAACCAAAAGAGAATAGGATTAGGCCATTGGGCCATTGGTTGGACAACATGGGCATGTGACCAACATTCACTTCATCAAAACATTAATGCCACATAGGATTGAGAGTCCGCCTTGGACACACTTAACGAAGAAGGGGTGTATTTGAACCATTTAGGTAAGGGGATATTTCACATAAGAACAATTGGGCTCCCTACTTTTCAATTTTATAGCTCATATTTCAATTTACAACCAACTAGCCCAAAAAATAATAGGCTAAGATTCAACATCCAACTCCAATAGGTTCTAGAAATTACTATTTAATTTTTAAAAAAGATTTCTCAAGCTTTTAAGTTAATTTTCGAATCAGTAACTGTGACTCAAATAATAGTCCAACAAACCAAAGCCATTTGAATTGTGAAAATTAGATTTGTAACAAGCTTAAATATGTGGTTTTAAATTTCGAATTTGATTTTGTGAGAAATTTGGAGTGGGTGTTATTTAGACTAGTTAGAAATAGTATAAGGAGGTTGTATATAAAATTTGAAGTCATTTAATGGAGATTTGGACTGGTTTTGAACAAGAATTGCAACTGAAAATCGTGGGAGAAGTTCGTCTACAGACGCTTGTATAAAGTTGTATAATAGTGTATAAGATGTGTATACACTCATATACACTATTATACAAGATTATACATAATTATACAAAAAACTGACTTCGTCTTCTTCCTTGCGTCTATTCTAAAATTTTACTCAAATCTTGCTTAAATCTACTTCAAATTTAAATTTTGAACTGCTTTTGATATTTTCAATCAATTGGAACAACACCCAATCCAAACAACTAACAAACTCAAAACAATCTTATTTTCGAAAGCAAATTTTTGAATGGCCATCAATGGTGAACTTCTACTCTTCAATTTTCTTACATTGCAACCAGGTGACACATGGTAAGAAGCAGCAATGACGGACGACCCCTTAAAGCATATGTAGAAGATGTGAGAAGAAGAGAGAGTGAAAGCAATAATGTGAGAACACAAATTTAACTCCATAGCTTTAGAAGCAATGCTTGTAAGAACACAAATTTTGAATTTGCTAGTGCTTTCAAAATATGTACGATATGGGCTGGGTAAAACTTAAAAACATGGGCCATTTTTTGTTATGGTATGTAGTCATGTATATTTTCTTGTAATTCTTTCTTTAGGTTACGACATGGATATTTTTATACGGATAATATAACGGAGGGTGAAAATGATCATTTTCTCGTAATAAAGGTACAAATATGGTCCTTATCCGAAGTATATACGTATTATATACCGATCTCCCATGTTGTCATTTATTGATCTATATATTGTAAAAAGGGCTCATCTGTATCACTAAAATGATATTTGTAGTGGGTTACCAATCTCCATGAATTTTGCGGTGCATTAATTCAAAATACAAGTAACCATCCCAATCGCCAAGCAACACAAATAGTAATAATTCAAACATATATAGTATTGTGTAAAATGATTTTAGTATTATAAAAAAGGAAATACAAACTCAGAACTGGAAAGAAAGACCTCAGAGTCTCAGCAACAGATGATGGTCATAACCATAAATGAAAATTTAAAGATAGAGATATTTGTTAATAATAATAACAAGGGGAAATAGTGAAATTCTAAAGGGAGATGAAACCTTCACGGACGAGGAGACCAAACATAAGAGTTATAAGGCCCGTAGTGATGCTTTGCGTTGGTGTCATCCATGGCTGAGAATAAGCGCCCAACGTAAAGGCAGCCCCCACCATTCCGATCAAGAACGCGCTCATGTTCTGATTCATTTTTCTTGAGATCTAACTCTCTCTGTTTCTTTTGCAATTTCTGCGGCTGAAACGATCGTTGAAATTCTGATCCCAATTATATATCTCTATTTCTTTGCAATTTCTCGTTGAATAAAAGGAGACAGCTAATAGCAGCAATAATTAAACAACCACCCAGGTCTCTCAAAGGCCAAAGTCAACTCTACCTTGGGGAGATGAATCCGCTTGTGTAATTTGTTTTTTCTCACCCCGCTTTTGTTTATTATTGATGCTGCTATCTGTTTTGTCATTCGACGTGACACATTTTTTCCTTATTTCCTTCTGGGTCTACATTTTACATACAGGAATTTTAGGAGTCGTTTCCCACGAGGTATAAGTATATATAGTGACAGTATAAAATTTTAATATCATTTTAATACTTTGTTTGGTTAGCAAACCTGGTATAAGTTATCTCGGGAATAAAATTAGTATCGGGATAATTTATACCTTGTAGGGGATGAGATAATTAGTGCCGAGATAACTTATACCTTCTTCTTAGAAATTATGCAATTGTCATTTGTAATACAACATACCAAACAGTAGATAAAAAATAATACCAGAATAACTAATCCCAGCATAACTTATTTCAGATGACCCCTTAAAATAAATTATCTACCTTTTTTGCTAGATTATCAAATCATGTTTTTTTATCAGTTACATATTATTGTAAGGAGTTTAACCTATATACATTGAAAGTGTAAAAGAAAATTACATTATTTAGTCACCTGAAAAATTACTATAGGTAAAAGGCAATATTAAAGTGAGATTACTAATAAAATTATGTCATATTACCTGCTATTTTGACAGTGTAAAAAAGTTTTTGTAAAAAATATGATTAACATAATGATGTAAAAATATATACCTTCAGTTCGCTAAACTTAAAACATCTTTTCCTTTTTAGTTCCCAAATTTGTCTTTTTGACTTCATCTTTCAAATTAATGAGGTCATTGGTATGCAATAAACGGCAGCCACAACATTTTCTTTCTGATTAAAAGTAGTAGGCGATTATGAAATTTCAGCCCAACAGACTGGCTCGGTGCTCGAACAAAATTATCAACAGACAGGTAACAAACATTTAGGCACAAGCCAACTCCTTTACACCGATAGCGAAAAAACTTAGAAAGAACAAGTCATAAGAATTGGTTGAGTATTTGATAATTTGCTTTTTGTTATAAAACAATAAAAGAACAAGAGCAATATTGTAGAAAAAAGTAGAGAGAGAATTCTTATTGAATTTTGGGATGATTTACAATGGAATTGAACCCTCTATTTATAGGGAGAGGTTGACTTAGCCACCAAGTAATAAACCCTAGAATCTCTCTAAATATGGATATTCACCATAAATAGGATTCTATTTATAACACTCCCCCTGAATGTCTATTCAACAGATAATGTGCCTCGTTAAAACCTTAACTAAAAGAAAACCCAATGGGAAAAAAATTCTAGAAAAGGAAAAAGAGTACACATGTTTAGAAATGCGCCTATTGGTTGCCTCGTTAAAAACCTTGCAAGGAAAACCCAGTGGGACAAAACCTTGTAAGGGAAAAAGAGTGCAACACGCATTAACTCCCCCTGATGAGAGCATAAATTCACATCCTTAAGCATTTGCATTCCAATCTTGTGCACCATCTTCAAAAGATCTTTGGTAGAGATTTGATGAACAATATCAGCCATATTAACTTCAACGAATTTGTTTCACCTTGAAATCATCATCCCTGATAGATGTATTGTCTTCATATGATCTTGTTGGAATTGTCAGTTCAATATCTTCACATAGAGGTGAAAACTCTTGCTATCATATTATCATGCATATAGTTATAGCAAGATACATTTGTGCACAAATTGCATTGAGGATGTAGTACTTCATGACCATGAATTCTATATGCTTTAAGCAATTTAAATCCTTCAAGGATTGTTAAGTCATATAAGCCATATAATAGACTTTAGATGCATATCAAGTTTTTATGTCATGCTAGACATATAAGATATCGAAAACTGAATGCACATACCATTGACTTTATACTTTCAAGTGTTTGAACTACATGTCCAAAACTGCATGTCTTTCATATGAATTCAAATTATACTTGAATTGTGGCTCTTCCATTTGGCCAATATTTTTGTGTCTATATTCGATAGACTTAAGATCCTCATCTATCTTAGCGCTATGATAGATGTCGTCGAAAAATATTTTATATCGGTTCCAACCTCCTTATTTTTCATAAAGACATAACATAGAGATCTCTTCATTCATATATTCAGGTACCTGAATCTCTCATGAGATTTTATGAAGTGTTATATCATGTGATCTTCTAGATCACTTGCCTCCTTTGTTATGATCATTTAGATCATTTGCTCATCTTCTTTATCAAGAAGTTTATTTGAAACCGATTTGTCTATATGCTTCAAGCGTACCATAGACTTTGTCCTTCTGGGACTTAATAGGAGCATTTGCAATGAGAATATAGTTACTTTCTTTGGGTCAGCAAATGCGTCTGGCATGCTTTGCAATATATTGCAGATGAATTATCCTTTTATGAACTTCAAGTTCATATTATTTTATTCGAGGATCTAGATGTATAAATGATAATTCATTCCATGTAACTTTTTCTCAACTGTTGTATCTTGTCTCCCCCTCATGTTAGAAAAGCTAACTTGTTTCCTCAACTTTGAGAATCCATCTTTGTGCGTTATGGTGTTAATCAAAATATACACCGCACATCAATAATAATACGATAGAATTATTTGGTTCCTGACCCTGAAACCACTTGTGAGGGGAGAATGTAATATACTTTTGTATATAACCTATATCAAACTGATATAGATAACTTTGTTCTCATAAGCAATAGTTTAGCTATTAAGTGGAGGCACTCAATAAATCATTTTGCTAAACCAACTGTGATGTAAACCAACTTATCAAGAAGAACTATCTTGAATAAAAATCTGGAAATTATGCTCTATATTAAATTATTGAGCAAGTTACCTCGCAAACACCAGGTTGCGGGTCAATAATAATTGCATGTAACCATCTCATAGATGCATCTTATGTGGTATACATGGCAGGTGAATGGGCCCATATTCACCTTTGAAATTTCCAGCATTCATGGGATTCAATCCCAATTTTAGTTGGTCTATTAATTAATGAGAACAAACAACATAAGAGAATTCGTAAAGAACTTTCTAGTTCTTTAATATTTACCCATGTGAATTCTCTTTTATTTTTGCACATCATACTTAAATTGATATGGGTAAACCAATTATGCCAACTGAATAAATTATCAATATTGATAAACTTCAGGTTACACCATGATGTGTGCAATTATGAATAAACTCCAAGTTTATTATGATATGGGGTTTATATCAATAAACTTCTCTTTATTGTGGCATTCTTTTGTTTGTGTAGTACAAACTGGAGAATAAGGGTAGCTTTTTACATATATATTACCCCGCTACAAGTTGTAGTAATAGAAGATATTAAATCTTCCCTTTATTTATAGTCTCAATATAATCAACCGCTTTCGCGTATACTTTGGAAACTGAATAAGTTTCTTTGAGACTTATTACAACACAATACCTTATTGGTAATTAATTGTGTTTCTCCAAAATAGTATAATTGGCTCTTGCAGAGTTCTCAATTAATTTTGTAGTACCACATATTCATCAACACCCATATGGTGAATATCTCTTTTAAAGAGAAAGTTATACCATTATGGTTATGGTCAAAATTATATGCAAGATCTGTTTCTTGCATTACCGTTGCCTTTTAACAATCACAATGCCAAAATATTTTGGCGTACAATAGGTACATGACCAATGACCATTCATGCCACAATAATCACATTATTTTCTTATATCATCTCAAACCTCCTTTTAGAGGTGAGTGCGGTATATTCACTACCACTAGCACGTTCATATTCTTTGAAGAATGAATATGTATTCATAAATCAGATGTTGTCACATTCACATCATGAATGGACCATAATCATCTATATGTGCTTTACAAAATCTCATGTCAAATCGATGATAAATATTTTTCACAGAGTGAAAGATTATTTTGAGAATCCTTATTGTTCTCATTACCACAAATGATGACGATTATAATTTCGTCTATTGCCACGTCCACATCCATTGATATATTCATAGTGATAATTTTATCTTCTTTCAGACTTATCACATACTGCTATCACATTCTCTTAAGGGAATGAGAATGGAGCAAATTCAATGGGACGGGTTTCCACTTTTTGTGCCCATAATCATACATGAATTTGATCATGGCAAGACATAGAAATTTTACCACTTCAGGTGGTTATAATTTCTTACAAACTCCATTATAGTTATAATCAAACTTTATTGTCTTTGCTTGTATATAAAATCAAAGTATAGAATAAAAGAGAAAAATACGGTAAAATACTTACCTTAAATCCAGAATTTAATCATGAAGGAAGTTCATGGAATAATTGATAATCATTATGCTCAATCCCAAAGCTTCTACTCAATTGGTTAGAGTCTCGTGCTGATAACGTGTTATAAAACAATAAAAGAACAAGAGCAATATTGCAGAGAAAAGTAGAGAGAGAGAATTCTTATTGAATTTTGGGATGATTTACAATGGAATAGAACCCTCTATTTATAGGGAGAGGTTGACTTAGCCACCAAGTAATAAACCCTAGAATCTCTCTAAATATGAACATTCACCATAAATAGGATTCTATTTATAACACTTTTAGAGTTTTCAATATTACAGATATAAGCGCAAGATAATTTCCAGGATATAAGCGTAATGAAAACGACACCAGATAGCCACTTTTAAGCATGTTGTTTAAATTATACCCACAATTTACAATGTATTTAAAACTTAGCCAATCCGCTCAAACTTCAGAGCACGACGTCCTGAAGTTTAAACCTCAAAGTTTAAATTTAATGACATTGTGTTCTAAAGTTCGAAAATTGTGTCCAGAAATTCGAATCTTATGTCCAGAATTTTAAATTAGTAGTTAAAAAATTCTGAATTTCACATTAACAGCTCAAAAATCTAGGACACTAAAATTAAGGATGCTTAGTCCTAAAGTT